CCCGGCCTCCTCGCGCGCCCCGCTCCGCTCGCCGACGCCCCGCGGGGGAGACGCTCGGGCTTTGGGGCCGCGGGTCCCCCCGCTCTGCAGGGAAACGGAAAAAAAAAAAAAAAAAAACAGCCAGGAGAAAACACACCCCCCCGCCCGGGGCCACCTCTCACCGCCGCCCTCCCCCCGCCGCCCCCTCCCGCCGCCGCCGTCCCCGCCGCCGCCGTCCCCGCCGCCCCGGTGCGCGCCGGCGAGGCATTTTCGCACCCCGCCGCGGCGAGGAGAGGGAGCGAGGGGCGGGGAGGGTGGGGACGGGCCGGGGGTGGGGGAGCACCGCGCGGAGGGATCCGGGCGGCGGCGAAGCGGCCCCTGCGCCGGGCCCCGGGATGCCTCCGCCGGCCTTAAAGGGGGCCCGGCGCCGCCGAGGGCCCGCTCCCTCCCGGCCCCCGCCCCGGCGGAGGGGGCGCGGCCGGACCTCGGCCTTGGGGCCGGCGGGGAGGGCACCCCCGGGGGCCGCGCGCTCCCCGCTCCTGACCCGCCCGGCGCAGACCGGCCAGGCCTTTTTTTTTTTTTTTTTTTTTCTCGTTCCTGACCGTGGACCAGCGAGGTGGACCGGTTGGTTGGTCCTCTGCTCCGTGTGGGGCCTAGCTCGGCGGTTTCGGTTAAAAAAAAAGCGTCAGCCCACCCTCCCCCTCCCCCGACCCTGGCCTTATCAGGGCGAATCAAAGCCCCGCTTTTTTTCTTTCTTTTTTTTTTTCTTTTCTTTTCTTCCTCCCCTCCCCCAGCCGAGCAGGCCTCGTGGAAACGAGCTGAGCGCTCTACCCCTGACGCACTGCACGCCTGGCTGGGGCTCCCAGGTTAATTGATATTTAATGGAAATCATGCCCGTGAATAGAGTTTCCATCATTTCACCCCGGACAGACGTCAGCGTTTGGGCGCAGGCGGGGGAGGCCGCGTGGCCGCGGGCGCGGACAGGGGACCCCGGAGACGGCGACCCGGGCCGGGCCGGGTGGCGTGTCCCAGGGCTCCGGGGGGCCCGCGTCCCCCGACGGCGCTCGGCCCGGACCGGTTCCAGGCAGCCGCGGGCCGGGCCTCCCGGGCCCCGACCGGACGAGTCCGGCTCACGCTCGCTCGCTCGGAAGCCGCGGGGCAGCGGCCGAGGCGGGCCTGCCTGAGCTCACACTTGTTTTCCCGGGGGAAAATGGACAAGTTCACCCGGTGGCGCGCGTTAGGGAGGGGGCGAGAGAGGTCCGCGGAAGGCCGGGGTTCGCCTGGCTTTCGGGGGGGGGGGGCGGGCGAGGCCCCGACTGTGACAGCTGGGCAGGGCTGCGGGCTTGGCACCAGCCACGCGTCTCTCCATCTTTTCTCTGGTGTGACTGCCCAATAAAGATGTTTATTCCTCTCTCTCCCTGCCTCTCCCTCCCTGCCCCTTTAGGCGCTGAACCCCTTTTCCTTCCTGATCTGTCTGGAGGACACCAGGGCCTCTGGTCTCGAGGCCAGACCTTGCCGATCCACCCCAGTTCACCAAAGACTCCGCTTCCACCAAATCACACCGCGCCGACTCCCCACGGCCAAATACAAATGCCCAGAACCCCAGCTGGACTCCAGGGTGCCGCAGGCCAGAGGCTCTGACCAACCATTCCTGGTGGCTTTCCTCGGCCCACGTGGGCGGGACCACGCGGTCGGTCCGAGCGCGCTGAATCTCGTTCTTTTTATATATAAATAACGTCGCCATAGAAAGGCATATTCGCCAGCAATGTCCGACCCAATTATTCCGCCCAAGCCTGGCCGAGAGTGGTGAAGGACACTGAGGTATCTGCAGGTGAAGGCTCGCATTAAGCAGATGCGTGTTAGAGGCTCTGGGAGACTCGCTGTGGGGTCAAGGGCAAGGCTGTCTTACTATTTTGTTTTTCTTTTTCTCCCAAGGAGCCTTCAAATGTGAAGTGTAACAGATGAGTGTATTACGGATTTGAACTTCAGTCCTGCAAATATGCAATTAAAGGATTAAAAAAAAAAATTAAAGCCTTGAAGCTAAACTCGATAATTGTGCGTTTTTCGCTCCACTGTTTGGGACGGTGTGCATGGGGACTTGGCTGTGTCTGGACACTGCATAAATGAACGGGTTTGGGAGCGGGGTGTGTCAAAGAGTCAAGAATCCAGATCGCAGGAACGCGGGGCACATTTTGAAACTCCTCATACTCGAGAGGTTGTCCACTCTCGAGCATAGCACACTTTTCCACACATTCGGGCCTAATTTTAAAAACGCTGCAGCGCATTTCCTCCGATGAAAACATAATGTTTTTCAATTTTATTTAAGCATTACGTTTGCTATCCTAAAAGAAGGGAGCGGCTAACTTCGAAGGTATCGTGAGTTTACACACTTTTGTTTTGAAGGAATGCACCAACCTAACGTTGATAGTTTCTGCACGTCGGTCCAGATTTTCTGAAATGCTGACTGAGCCAAAATTTTATGCCTGGCAAGCACCGCTTGAGAATTTAATAGTTCACGTTGTTTGTTTTTGTTAAATGTATCCTAATTTAAGATTAAAAGTAAGATTGTAAATATTTTTAATCAAACCTTCCTCCACCTCCTCCACCGCAACGCTAGCGTTGCAAGAGCAGAGAGTGGAGCAACAGCGCTCTCTAGTGGCCAAGTGTCGTCGCAAGCCACACCAGTTCTATTACCCTCTCATTCGCCTCAAACCAATTCTAATCTTAATTCTTTAGCTTGATTTGGGTTTAGACCGCTGACACTAATATTGCTTCATCTTCTTGACTGTCAACAAGTCAAATGGGGCAACCGGGACCTCCTGAATGCAGAGGAAACGCTCATTTGTACCCACAAGAGCTTGCAAGCAGTGTGTTCGCCAGCAGCTCCAGCCGGGTTTTGCCAGGCTGCAAGTCCCCCATTCTGTAATCTCCCAGCTGTGTTTTTAGGCACAATTATAGGACAGGCTAGGTTTAACAACACTCAAAACTTTAAAAAATTTTCATGGATCAGACTTTTTTTTTTCCAAAGAAACCAGGCGCTTTGACAGCTAAATTTTTTCTCAAAGTCAAATATTATTGTTTTTTTTTTCTTAAAAATCTATTACTCTCAACATTACATCATGAGTATTTGCTAATTCGACTTCATAATTTTAATGTTTTGGACCCATTAAACTGGATAATTTGAGGCAGATTAAAGCCAAATTGAAAGTTTTTTTGCTGCATCTCAAGTGCCTGTCAGGAAAGTCCCTGTTGGGCTTATGTTTATTTAAATGTCTCCAGACAATGAGTGAGAATTTTTAAATTGTGTAAGTGACAGACTGAACCGAATTGGATATGCGGTTTGTCTTTAAAAAAAAAAAAATGTTACCAAATCAGTGTGTTTTTTGCTAAAATAATTTCTGTCTCTGTTGCTCCTTTTCAGAAATGTTTTCTGTCAATTTAGCTGTAATGACTGATCCTGTACTGAGTGAACAAATGTATTTTTGCCAGGAATTTGGAGTGAAAGTCCAGTGAAGAGGCATGCAAACCTCCCTTTCCCGACAAGACAGCATTCCAGGAGGTGCCTGCTTTAGTAAATGGTCCAAGATCACCAGCAGCTCCCCATGCCCCACTCCAAGTAACGGGTAGTGTCATTATTGTCTTATTTTTTTTTTTCTTTTAAAAGAACCAGATAGATCATGGCCACAGTCAAAATATTAAAGAGCCACCGGCCACAGACTGGCCCTAACTTTCGCCCCATTTTAAAAAAATCAGAAATATATCACCTTCCATTTTTCTTTCTCTGGATTCTCACATCTCACTGGGGGGGGCTTCCAAGCCCCTTCCTTCTTGGTCCAAGTCTTGTTTATATTTTATTGTCCAGATTTTAAGACCTAGTTTTGTCTGCATTTTTTCTTTCCTCCCACAAACATCAAAATGAGATGGTTTCAAAGCAAAGCGCCCGGCCTGTCGTAAACTCATTACCTCCAGACGTCTGGCCGGCTCGATGGCTTTATGACACCTTGGCTCTTCCTGTTTTCAAAGGGCTGTAGGTGTCCACTGGCCGGAGGGGCGGGGGACGCAGCACCTTCGGCCGGATCTGGGCCTTGGCTTTCCCTCCCAGCCCCCATCTGCTTTTTCTTGGAGCCCCCCTCTTTCACCAGGATCCCCAAGATCTCTACCATCGCCCCCGCCTTCCGCCCAACCCAGGCTGCCCGGCGCCGAGGCCTCCTCCAGGGCCTGCAACGCCAGTGATCGCCTGAACCCTCACAATGACCTTCATTTTAGCCTCTCAATGCGGCCTCAAAGGGCCGAGCTAGGGCCTACACACACTTAGAAGCTGGTTGGAGGGAAGGGGGCAGCAGGATGAGGGGAAGGGGAGGAGTGTCTTGACCATTTTGAGGCGCTAAGGTCACTTTGGGGGCTTTGGTGAGGAGGGAAGCTCCCTGCCTAAGCAGCTAAGTGGAGAGTCAGGGTGCTTGGTTGCTCTTTCCTTGTTTGGGGATGAGGGTTGGATTCTGGGTCTCCAAGATCTAAGTAGGCCAGCGGAGAGGTGTGTCAAAACCTGGGTGAAAGGGTGCCTGGTTCCTGGCGCCAGGGCTCTGCACAGAAGCTCAGCCAGGGCCTAAGGCACTGGAGTTCTATCCCTGGCAGCAGGATAGGGGAAGCACCAAGATACATTCCAAAATTGTGCTCTTCGGCCAGGTGTGCACACGCAATGGGAAGTTCCAAGGCGCCTCAGGGGCCCTCCTGGTCCTAGGACCTCCGACCTTTAGCAAGGTGTCCCCTCAAAGGGACGGGACAGTCTGACGAGACGGTGTTATTTTGCAAAGACACAGAGAGCGGGTCACACCACGTTCAGGGCCAGCGGCTGGGCTCCATTTGTTCAGATCAGCATTTATTTGTTGGAAGCGGTAACATTTACAAATGGTCCTCAGGCAGGAATACGGAGGGTCACCACCCGAGCCCAGCCCTCCCGGGGTGGGGTGGGGGAGGGCAGCTCCCCCTGGGCTCCGAGGACCGAGGCCTTCCCCGCCCTCCCGCCGCGCCCCAGGGCCCGGGGCTCCTCGCTAGGCCTCTCTGGAAGTCAGCCCGCGGGCTCCCCGAGGACAGGGGCTTTCCTGCGGGGAGCGGCTGGGTTGGGTTCGGGCTGGGAGAGCCTGAGGGTGGGGAGTGTCGTCCAGTCTCCCACGGCCTTCAGATTCTCGGAACTGGAGAGCTGGCCCTGTCTGGGAGGCTGGGGAGACACTAAACTACAGCACTTTTCAGAAACAGGAGGGTCGTTTACACAGGAGAGGGCCTCAGTAGGCCCGCGTGCATTTCCTAAGGAACCAACGGAGCAGGAAAGGGGACGGGAAGAGACAAAACTCCAAAGCCACTTGGTTTCTCCAATACATATGCGAGCAAATACAGCGTCCCCCCCAAATAACTCACAGACACCGACCGCACAGTCAATCTACCTAAAAGAAGAAACAAGTCCGAGTCGCCCGCCGCCGCAGAGTTTCTGAATCAAGCACCCACCAAGAAAAAAAACAAAACAAAACCCGCTGCCTTTGCGCCCCGCAGGCCAGGACCGTTGGGTCAGTCTCCTTTGGGGCATTTTTCCTTGGTCATTTTTTTCATTTTCATCCTGCGGTTCTGGAACCAGATTTTGACTTGTCTCTCTGTGAGGTTCAGAATCCTGGCCACCTCGTAGCGCCGGTCCCGGGTGAGGTACATGTTGAAAAGGAATTCCTTCTCCAGCTCCAGCGTCTGGTATTTGGTGTAGGGACAGCGCTTTTTCCGGGTCGAGCGAGCGTGGATCCAGTTCGCTGCGGGGTTGTCTAGGGGAGAGGGGGTTTGCAGACAGGGAGCGAGGGGCGGAGGGGAGGCAGCGCGAGGCGACAGGGTGGGGAAGAGAGGTCGTTAAATTAATTTCACCAAGGATGGCCGCTTTTCACAACTTGGGGGAATTATCATAAAAAGCCTTAATGCCCGCGCTCTGTTTACCGTACAAACCGCGCGCCCAAGGTAGGTGGTTATGGGAAGCTTTTTTTTTTTTATGGATGCGTGTTGCTCGCCTAGGCTTGGGTAGGCGTCTAGACGTTTTTATAGGTTAGTAAAACTATCAGTTTTGCACATTCGAGCCTTACAGGTTCCAGCAATAAATCAGGGGGCAATTTCTTTTGCACTTACTTGGGTCAAGTTGCTGCTGCGGCGGCTGCGGCGGCTGCTTCTCCTCCTCCTTCAGCGGGCAGCCCGGGCTCGGGTGGTCGGCGGCAGCGCAAGCCGAGGGCTCGGACGAGCCTCCCGCCCCGGGCCCGGCCCCGAGGCCCACCCCGGGCCCGTTCCCTCCCGCCGCCGCCGCCGCCGCCGCCGCCTTGTCCCGCAGGAACGAGTTGCACGGGAACTCCGGGCCGCCGCTCCCCTGGGACTCGCGGGCCGCGGGGCACTCAGTCCGTTTGGAGGAGGAGGAGGACGAGGAGGCGGAGGAGGAGGAGGTGGCGGCGGAGGCGGGGGCCGGGGCCGCTCCGGTTTCAGGCTTAATCCCGTAGTGGCGCCCGCTGGCCGGGCCGCCGGGGCTGGGGACGGGAGCCGGGCCTCCTCCTCCCCCCCCTCCGCCGCCGCCGCCGCCGCCGCCGCCGCCGCCGGGGAAGCCGGGCAGCGGCTCCAGCCAGGAGCGCGCGTAGCGGCCCGGCTCGGCGGCGGCGGCCAGGGGCGGCGGGGACACGTACGGGTGGTACAGGCCGCTCATCGCCGCCGCCGCCGGGGGCTGGGCGGCCACCGCGGACCACGAGGCGGAGAACACGGACGATTTGGGGGCAAAACTACACGAGGCGAACTCGGCGGCGGCGGCGGCGGCGGCGGCCGGGCCGTCGGCCACACCTGCGGGCCGGCCCTGCGCCCCCGGCCCCGGCGGCCCGAAGCGCGCGCCGAGCAGCACCTCGTCGCCCTCATGGCCTATGAGCGAGTCCACGAAGTAGTTGCTGAGGGCGCCGCTGGACGACATGCCGAGGCGGCCGCCGCGCGCTCCCGCCCGAGCCTGCACTGCCCGCCGCCCCGCCGCTGCCCGCCGGCGCCCCGGCCGCCGACTAGTTCGCGGGCGGCAGCCGCCACCATTGGTCGCGCGGCCCACGTGATCATATTTACCAATACCCGGAGTAAATCAGTCCGCTAAACTGGGGGCCGCTGTGATTTAAAAAAAAAAAAAAAAGAAAGAAAGAAAGAAAGAAAAAAAAAATCATCATCAACGGGGAGCGTCGCAATTAGAGCGGGCGGGCCCCGGGGCCGCGCGCAGGCCCGGCTCGGCTCGGCCCGCCCGGCTGGCGGCAGCTGCCGCGGGCCTGAGTGCGGCCGCGGGAGGCGCCGGGGACTATTTGTTCGTCTCTCCTGGGCGCTCTGGCTCCTGCGGTCTCCACTCGGGTTCTGGTGCTTCGACTCCCGGGCTCCGGGCCTTGGGCCGGGCTGCCCGGGGCACACACCTAGGAGCCCATCCATCCAAAGCGGGGAGCCCTGGCAGGCTGGCCGGCCCCGGGCGGGCCTTTTAGGGCGGCCCCCTGGCGCCCGGGGGGAGCTGTTTTCCCCTCGCCCCTTTTCTCACCTAAACCCACCCCTCCCCACCCACAGCCACACACGCTCCCTCACAGCTTGTCGTGTTGTTGAAAACAGGTGGAAGACCTCTGTAATGATATTATGCCTTTCAATAAAAATTTTATGAGGTGTATTTGATTATAGATTAATGTGTCCCTAATAAAACGGACGGATGGAGCAGCTCGGAGGACCCCCCTCCCTCTACCGCACTAACACACATACACACACACACCCTCGACGTGAGGCTAGGCACACGCCCGAGGCCCAAGGGGTGAGCTGGGCCAAGGGGACTCCCGGGCCTGGTCCAGCCCAGGGCGGCCTCTGCAGGGGCTGCCTCCGAGGGGCTTCTCTTTGCCCCGGGATGGGTGGTGAGCGCTGGAGTCCCAAGGAAGCCGATAGGCGCCTCATCTTTTCCCAGCCTTCTTCTGGAATGGCCCTGGAAGAAAACATGCCACAGAGGGAAAAACTCAGCCTCCAGCGAGGCCAGTTCTCACTAGCCGAATAAAGCCCTGCCTCGGGGAGGCCTGCCGAACCCGCATCTCCAAGGGCAGGGCCGCTGCGTGCCTTTCACACTGAGAGGCCTGCAAACGGATTCTGAAGAAGTCTTCAAAATCCAGACTAAAGGACAGGTCCTCAGAGCCACTCCCTTTCCAGTTTCCCCCCTAGCCTTCAGAGGTGAGGCCGGGCAGCCTTGAATCTGAGAGAAATGCCCATTGTCACTCCCAAATCCATGGTACAAAGCCCGGCTGGGAGCCGAGACAAAAGCCGCAGGGCGGCGGCTGAGAGGGCATCATGTTCCTCGCTGTACAAGTTGCCCAGTGCACCCTTGCAGGGCTCACAGCCCAACTCCAGCCCCGGAAAGAAAGGGGGTAAATGGCTACTTAGGGCCTGATTGATCGCCTTTGCGAATGGCTTTCTGATTTTGTTTCAGGGGGCCTGCCCTTTCCCTGTCGCACAGGTTCCCCTATCAGCAACTAATGGCGCTCCCCACATCGCTGGGAGAAACGCAGAGGTTGAAATTACTCCACTGCTTTTGCCCATCCAAGGTAAGTCAGGGCAAATTTGGTCCAGTCCTCTCTCAAGCTAGTATTGAATCAGACACCTCTCTCTACCAGCCCCAGGAAATATGCCCCTACACGAATCTGTCTTGGAAATTGGGAGGATTTGAGGTTTGGGGAAGGAAGTTTAAAACAATAAACACTGAGCATCCCGAAGACTCTCTGGATGGAGGCTCTGAAGCTCAGAGGGGCTAAATGGACCCTTCTTTGGGAGGAAAAGGCCTGTACTTAAAAAGAAAAGAAAAAAAAAATGTGTTCCGTGAGATTCTTTGAAGATGGGTTAAAACCACAGGCTGGACCTGGGACAAGGAATTCAGTTACCTATTCCCACAAAAACCTCTTCCCCCCTTTCTGGCAGGACTAGAGAGATCTGGGCTCAATGGTATGGATTCGGCAGAAGCTGGTTTGGATTTTTCAATCTATGTGTGTAAAAGGTCCACTGGACGGACTTGTTGGGAAGTCATGTTCACTTGCAAATCCTTGCAGTCACCTGAGTGTTTAGATACAGTGGCTGCGATGAGCATTTTGTGATTAAATAGTGAGAGATTTGACTGGGGAGAATATTTCCATTTTTTTTTCCTTTAAAAAAAATCCATGTGGGCCACTGAAAGGTAATGGCTGAATATTAATCCCTTTCAGGAGGAACCAAGGTAAAGTAAGATGGGAAAACTCACCCAACCTTAGCTTCGCTGGGCCTGGTTGTCTTGAGCTTGGGGTGGATGGGAATGAGAAAGGGGGGACACAATTGGATCCGGTGCCATTCTAAGCTGCTGCTTGTTCCTGCAATGGAGGCCAGGCAGGTTCCAGGTAGGCAATACTAGTTCCCACCTGGCCCTGAAGACGGATTCCCAGCCAGAAGTCATCAAGAGCTCACTGAAAGCACTAAAAATAACACAGCCAAAACCAAAGAGAAGAAAACACACAAGTGGGGAACTGAAAGCAAAAGTAGGCACAGGGCACACAGGCTTACTTACCAGGGTCCAGCTGGAGGGAAATTCACCCCATTGAGAATGCAGTTAGGGTGACAGGATTAGGGGGTGGGAGAGGAGATAACACTACCCAGTCATGAAGACTGCACTCCCAGACTGAACCATCCCTCTTACCCTATCCTCGCCATATCCCAACACCCTAGATCCTCTCCAGCTTTCCAGCCCCAGCTCCTTTCTCCTGCCCCTCCACCCCCAGCTCCCCTACCCAACTGCCCCAAACAAGCAGTTTAGTCAAAAGAGACCCTCCCCAAAGGCTTTGGTCTCCACCATGACGTATTTCCATTTCAGAAAGCAGAGGGAGCGAACTCATTTCCAGAGTTTATTGCATTATACATGCGACCAGAACATGCACAGAAAGCACAGGCTGCTCTTGGACTCTTCTACCAAACCACAGATGCACCACAAGGGGAAAGGCTACAAGGCATAAGTTAGCAATACTCCATTTCACCAAGGACAACTGCTAAGTTCATTTGTGAAAAGATACATTGTGATGTGCTTTTTAAAGTCCCCCTCCCCCCCAAAGCTTGTGGGTTTGCTCAGTCTTCTGAAATATATATATATATATAAATTTTGAAGTACTGGGTGTTTTCAAAATGTCATGAGTTCATGGGTTAAACCGCACAGAGGAGAACTTTCATGTTGAGGAGAAGCATGGAAGAGCCACGTTGCTGGTTGGCTAGCTGGATGGATGAGTGGATGGTCAGATGGATGTTCTACAGTTCTAATAAGTTAAGACCCAAATGAAAATGCGCAGTAACAGTTACCCTGCATTACGATGAAAAAATAAATTACGCGTGCTAAGTTTTTTTTAATATATATATATATATGTACTCATAGGGATTACAGCTCACTTGCAGCACGAACAGAATGACCCCAAAGTCACATTCTAGCAGGAAAACCAGAACACAACAAAACAAAACAAAACAAAAAAACAAAGAGCAATGAAGGTTTTGTTTCCGCCTTCCCAGTCCTCCAGCGCTCGGGCCTGGAACACGGTGCCCCCTCTCGGATCCCGGCCTCACGTGGGCCTCAGACCTAAGAAAAGGTGAGGTTGGCGGTCAGTTCTCGGATTCGATTCTCTCGGCTCATCTTCTTGAGTTTCATTCGGCGGTTTTGAAACCAAATCTTGACCTGCCTGTCGGTGAGGTTAACGCTCTTACTGATCTCTAGGCGGCGCTCGCGGGTGAGGTACATATTGAACAAGAACTCCTTCTCTAATTCCAGCGTTTGGTGCTTAGTGTAGGGGCACCTCTTCTTTCTGCCACTCTTTGCAGTGAGCCAATTGCTGGTTGGAGTATCAGACTTGATTTCCTCTAACAAAATTAAAGGGAGAAGAAAAAAAATCAAGAATTTTTTTTTTTCTCTCAGTCCATTCAAATACACCCTTGGCCATGACCCTGCTGGCAGACAAGCTTCTTTTGACAATGCTGGTATGAAACATTACTCACAAAGGTGGGGCATGAAGGGGATTTTAAACTGATACCAATTTAGAGCTAAATGCTTAATACAATGAAAGGATATTCTGTATCAGGGGTTGGTGCTCTCTCTCTTGCTCTCTCTCCTTCTCTCTCTGCCACACAACTTTCTGGTTTTGCACAAAACATGATTATAATAGTAAACTTTACAGCATTTCCCCAGCAACATTCTAAGCGATCAACCCATGGCAGGACAGACTACGAGAGGCCATACCTTGGTTAGCCTATACCCTGCTGTTCCAGGGCCCCAAGTCTACCGCCTCTCACCCACTTCTCCTAGGCAGACAGGGAGCCCCAGAACCAGGTTTACAGGAACCCCGTCTCTTTCAAGACATAAACGAGGAAGCAAAGGATATCTTTTCCACCCTTCCTGAGCATGGCTGCCGTCCTCCCCAGAATTCCCTCAATTTCCAAATGTTTCTTCGCTCTCACAGAAAAGCCCTCCTCTGTGGCCCACCGGTAGACACTGAGGGACAGACTGCAGACACAGTGGGTGGGGGCCTCAAGGTTCCTTCTTAGAAACCCATAACCCTGGTTCTCTGCCTTACCCCAGCCCTAAATGGGCAAGACAGAGCCACTCTCCTCCTCCGCCTGCCTTTGCCCTCTTTGTAGAAGATTGCAAAGCCTGCGGCACTCTCCCCAGACAAAGCCAAGGTTACCTAGTCTAGCAAAGGCAAGGCGTCTTCAGCTTCCCCACCAAGCACCAGCCGGCCAAAACATTTCCTTCCCCTCTCAGATCGTAGGATGCGGGGTGCAAACCCTTGAACACAAACACGGGGTCTTGGGCCACCATAAAATGATCCCTGGGTGTAAGGCAAATCTGGGGCTGCAAATCTGAGCCAAAGAAAAGGGGGCACTGGAGCCCTGTTTACAAGCGGCTGGTCTCCTTTTAGCTCTTTTGTTGCATTTCCAATCTGGCTCAGGACAGATAAACCCGGCAAGCCTTTCCTGTGCTCGGGCGCCATCAGCGTGAGGCCAGGTCTGGCCTGGAGGGCCAGAGCAGCCGGAGAGAAGCTGGGACCGTCTTAAGGCTGAAATCTCCCCCTCTAAAAGCCGGGTGGAGCGGCACCTGCCGAGTTGGGCTCTGGGCTCCGCTGCCCAGGCTCTGGGCACCCGAGCACTCCCTTTCCGAGGCTTTGCCGGACTGCGCGCCCCGGGCTGGGGTGGCAACTCTGTTCATACCGACCTTTGCTTTCCTTCTCCTGCACTTCTGGACTGGACACGGAGACCTCGGCCAGGCAGCTCCTGTCTTCTGGAAGGCCGCCCTTGGCCTCGGGGCTCTCCACTTGGGATACTTTGCTGGGCTCCTGGCCGCTCGCCGTTTCGTTCATCTTCTTCTCCATCTGCAGCTGGGCAGCCGAGAGCTGCGGCTTGGCCGCGCCACGAGGGTTGAGCTGGAGCATGACAGCGGAGCCGCTTTCGGGGCTGTTATTGTACTCTTGGGTTTTCCCGGTGGCGTAGGTCTGACTCAGTCTAAAATATCCAGGGACAGGAACCTCTGGGTTCTCAACGGGGCAGGACTCGGGTACCAGCCTCTGGTACGAAGGGACCTCGGCAGAAATGAGTTTGTTGCGCTTATCAGAATACATGCAGCAACTGGATTCTTCTTTAATGTTGGCGGTGAACGGGCAGGCAGGGACCTGCTGTGTAACAGGTTGCTCTATTCGACAGGATCTGTTCGGGTCTGTCCAACTGTCTACTTGAGGTATATAAGGGTGCACGTTCATACCCATATTTTGGTGGTTCACTTCTCTTTTGGCCAGAGACGGGAGCAGTCCACAGGTTTGCATTCCATAGGTCCCCATGTCTGCGCTAGGTGGTGGCATGTACATGCTGGCGCTGCTCGAATAGAAACTGTCACTCCTGCAGGCACTGATCAAGGAGTCTACTAAAAACGTATTAGCAGCAGGAGAGCTGTTGGGAAAGGACATTTTGGGGAGGAATTTGAAGAAGAGAGATTGTGTCCTTTGTAGGCTGACATCTCTAGGAAAACATTCCCGGTGTAATTGTGGATGCCTCTGCCGACCACATGACAACCAAGCCAATGAGATTTGAAAATGGCCTTGAGCCGCAGCCTCCTTGCTGGTCACGTGTTCCCCAGCCCGGCCGGCCGGCCGCGTAAGCGCGGACAACAGCGACATCTAACTAAGGGCCCGTGCTAGTGCGCGCCGGAGACGCCGGCCCGGAGCTCTGCGGCCGGCCAGCCGGCCTCCCGGGGCTTGTCTGGCCGGCCTGCCCCACTCGAGTCCCCCAGCCGGCCACCGGGCCCCGCCGGCGGAAGGAAAGCCTCGACCCCAGGGGCCTCCGGGAGGACACGCGCGCTCAGGGAGGTCAGAGCGCCTGGCGCCCGCTCCCACAGCGGCTTCCCCGCACACACCCAGGCAGAACGCGCCCACCAGGGCCGGTTCCCAGCAAGGGGTAGGGGCGCGGGCTGGTTAACTTAGCATTGGGCAACCGGGAAGGTGAGTCCGATTCCCCTGGTTCCGAAACGTCCCTTCTAGGGCTCCAAGGTGGGGGGAGGGATCTTCCGTGCAAAGATACGGCCAAGGAGAGCACTGCTTGGTCGGGCGGCGAAGGTCGAGAGGCCACGCAGCCGGGCAGACCCTGAGCCCGGAGGACGGTTCCAGCCCGCGCTACCCTCCCCTTAGAGCCTTCGGTCCGGACTAGGGGAGAGGGGTCCCCGGCACCCACGAGCCCCCGAGCCTTGGCTCTCAGAGTAACCACACCCTGACCTTTGAGGGGCCGGCAGGAGGGAGACAATCCTTCGCCAGCCATTCCCTATCCTCGCAGCGTCCCTCGGGCTCCCAGAGAAAAGCGAGATTTCCTTTCCCTGCTAACACAGGGCAGAGAGGAAGGAAAGGAAAAAGAAAATATCTTTTCAAAAGAAAGGGGGAACTCTGAGCCCTGGACTCCACAAGTTTTGGAAAACCGGGCCAGAAAAAAAGCAAGAGACGCAAAGCAAAGGTGTCATTTGGATTTTCTGCAAAGAAAAATATGTTTTGCCTTTATGGATTTTGTAAAAGCATTGCTTTCTGACAAGTGCAAGGTACAAAAGGTTGTGGAATTTATTAATACATATTAAGAAGAATCAGGGCGATCAATAAAATTCTCATCTACATTCTTGGGCTACTTGGTAATTTTCTTGCTTCTGAAGGTTTTTAAAGAGTTATACCCGCTATTGCCACAAACGGGAAGATATTTTATTAACAAATCAATCGAGACTTTGTAAAGGATAAGATTAATAGTTAAGATTTAGCATAATGGCGTTTGCTTTATGAATTATTGAAAATTATACTATTGATTTTTCCCCTTCACTACTAACCAAGAAGGTCAATTTTTGTTTTAACACAAATTGTCAAATATTAAAAGCTACACTTTTGTCACAAGTTGAATTTTACAGTTTTGGACAATCCCTAAAAATTTTTTGGCAAGGTTCTGTTTGGGCAAGAGGGGGAACGAGATGGGAGAGTCTTAGTCTTCCGTTTCCTCTGGTGAGGGAAAGTTTTATAAAGAGGACATGGTCTGGGGTTGTGGTCCAGCTCATTAAAGAGCAACCACTGACGCCACCACCGTGGAAACTCGGAGTTTTATGAGAAACTTGAACAACTTCCTCCCTCCTTCTCTGCTCGCAGGCGGCCGAGCCCCTCTGCGGAAGCCGGAGCCTTAGGACAGCAGCAGGGAGCTTTAACCTTGATTTCCAAAGACTTGCCCTGGACTAAGGGCCCTGCCTGTGTGTGGGAGCCGTCCTTCCGCCTTCCGGGTCCCTTTCCCCGCAGTCCAGAAAGTAAAAAGGACCCGGAAACGGTGACCGTGAACCAGTTCTCAGTCCGAGGAGACGTTTGCGTTCTTTTCTCTCACATTCACCCAGGGATGGGCTGGCCTTGGATTTCAGGCCCAGAGACTGAACTTGTGGGGATCTGTTTTCCACCTCAATAACATTTCTGTGGGGTCCAATGCTCCTTACGGCTCCTGAGCATTCTGGGGGACCGAGTGCTCCTTCACAAAAACACTTCATCCCCTCCCCAAAGTCCTTTGTCCCCCCTCCCTCCCATAAAGGAATTTCTCCTGGCCTGGTGAAAACAGGCGCTGGACGCTCTTTTCGGCCTTGGGACCAATGGGCTAGCCCTCTCGGTGCCCTCGCCCAAACAATAACCCCTTTTAAAAAACTCCACGGTGGCAATGAGACAGCCCTTTTAAACCTTTATGCAGCTGTTCAAATACAACATCATGGCCAGGTTAAAGCCCTGGCGCCTCTGGCTGCTCTGGCCGCTGCACGCCGGCGCTGAAGCCCGAGATTTAAATATCACCTTTCGACAGGGGTGACCCTTTTTAAGCTGGGGAGGGAGTGCTGGGTGTTAAGTAAGGCACAGAGGGGAAAAAAAGCGTTTGCCCCCAGGTTGCTAAAATCCCGCTCAAACCTAACAAGCCACTGATTAGCACCTCAAAAAAAAAAAAAAAAAAATCCTTTTTCACATTGCAGCTCAGATTCCGAGCTACAGCGAAACGTGCCCAGAGCTGGACAAAGTGCCCGCTGCTGCCGCTTCGCTCTCGGCAGCCGCCCTGACGCCAGCCTGGCGCTTCAGCTTTGTGTTGTCCTGTGGCTCAGCCAGGAGAGCTGCCCAGAATCCTACTGCCCGCTTTTCCTAATCCCAAGCAAGGCAGGGCCGTTCAATCTAATCAGGAATTTTATGCCCATCAAATGCCCTTTCATAATCTTTATTTATACACGAAGAAAACACCCAGTCTAAAAACAGGCAATTCCTTGCTGAGCTGGTAAGTCTTCAGTGAAGGAGGAGAGGCAGAGCCCTGCCTTCTCCGTGTGTGGGTCTTTCTATTTGAGTGTTCCATGGCTTCAAGCTCAAAGTCACCTCGCATTGGATTAGGGTTTAAATAAATCTTCACTCACAGGCAGAAAAATAAATGAGTATGTCAATTAAAAAAATAGAATCTATTTTCACAAATTTTTATTTTTTTCTGCCTTTAGACTGATTCATTGGGGCCAAAACTGTCAATCTGTTAGATTTCTAGAATTTAAAACGAGCAAAATGAAAATACTGTAAGGAAGGACAGAAAATGTGCCTTAAAACCTTAGAGCGGCCACAAAGCAAACGGAAGGAAAAGGCTGTAGCGCTGAGGGCCAGCTTTTATTTAGAGTGTTTAATGCAGTGGCTAGTGTTTTGTTTTGTTTTTTTTTAAAGTCAACTTTAGATCATTTACAGCCGTTAATATTAATAATAAGTCAATATTGCATCGTAAAGGAGATGAATATCCGTATTTGTACCAAGACGTCTGTCTCCTTGGCACAGCTCTTTCGAGAGAAGCATTTAAAAGGTCGCCTCAGCAAGAAATCAGCGTTTGTGATAATAACAACAACAATAAGTGGCTTCTGCACTGATCTGTTTTTTTTTTTTTTTTGGGGGGGGGGTAGAGGCTCTGGGCCTAGGAGGACCTATGGGCTCTTAGAGTCTCCCTGAATTAGAGCCGTGAGCTGCCTCTGGATTCCGTCACCCTTTGGACACAGAGTGGGTAGGGACAGATTAAAAGCTGCCTCCCCAGGGCGGCCCTCTGGGTTGCACTGGGCACCAGGGCAGCAAGTAGAAAAGAAGGGGAAAAGGATCCGCAGAGAAGGGCGGAAGGGATCAAGAAGGACCGAGCCCCTTTCGACACCGACACAAAAGACTCCTACTTGGCGCATTTTCTCTCTACTTCAGAACCCGAGAACTTGGCGCCTCAGAATCCTTGGCCGCCTCCAAGGAGCCCCGTGCGCTCCGGCCCGCCCAAGAAGGGGAGATTTTCGTCCCCCGAAGGTCCCGATCCCACGCCTCGAGCCCACGCTGGGCGGGCGCTGCGGGGAGGACAGACGGCGCAGAGCCGCGGAAGGGGGCTGCGGGCGGCTGCGGCCAGGGCCGCGGGGCCCCGCACCACCAGGCGCGGGGTGGACGGGGCCGCCTGCGAAGGGACCTAACGACATTTGGGGAGGGAGGTCTCACCCCACGTGGACCGAAGCCGGCCTTAGGCCCCAGGAAAGGTGGCTTTACGAGAGCTAAGCCGGACGGGGGGCCAGACGGGCCGAGCCGGGTGCCCGCGCGGGGACCCCCCACGCCTCCCTCGCCGGCGCCCCAGCAGCCAAAGCCAGAGCCAGCCCCGGGAGCCCGGGGGCCACCGAACGGAGGGAGGGAGACAGGGGTCAGGGCGACTTGCAGGGGCGGCGGGCTCCTCGCGAGGAACTTGGGGTGAAAGGAGGAGGGACTGGCCAGCCTTCCTTTGAGCCGCCCGCCGGGGACCTGTCTTCACACTTGGGGACCGCGGACGAGGATGCCAGCTGAGGGGGCACGGACACCTCCCCGAGCCCAGGGCCCGGCCAAGGCGGTGGATCCCGGGGCTTTCAACTGTCCGAGAGCCCGTGCCCAGGCAAACGGCGCACCTCAAGGTCAGCGCGCGGCCCGGCTCCCGTCAAGTACAAGGCCCGGCTACCTCAAACGCCCTTCCGTCCACAACACTCCGAAACACCACCGTCCTCGCCAAGAGGCCGCTCCTCCCGGGAGCCGCGCCGGCCCGGGGGGGGGGGGGCCGGCACCCCGGCTCCCAGCCCTCCCTGCCCCCAGGGTGGCCCAGCCACGCGCGGGCCGGAGCCCCCGGCCCAGAACGCCGTCCACGCTCCTCGTGGAGTTCCCTTCTTCCCTCACTCTCTTTCCTTTCCCTAAGGACGCGCTCGGCCAGGTTGCCAATGCCCCAATCTGTCTTAAACAAAAGCCCTGTAACACCCCAGCCCACCGAAAGCTCAAAGACGCGTGCGGTTTTGGGGAAGGACTTTATCTTTGTCGTTGCTCTTCACACTCCAACGCGAACATAGATTTCCCCCCTAGTGTAACCAACTCGCGGTGGCTAGGACGTGCTTCAAACCACAGATATTTGTCTTTTCGAAACATCTTCTCAAAACCAGCAGGTTGTACATATACCAAGGTATTCTCTGCAGCGGCTTTATCTTTAGGGAAACAACGACTGGGGACGCTCCTGTTTCAGAATACTGATTCCTTCTTTTTCTCTGTCTCCCCACAACCTCTCACAATTCACGGCTGCTTAGAACAAGCCAACAGCGAACACCTTAACTGCTGCCTGTTTCTGATCCCTTACTAGAATCTAGGATTGGGAAAAATAAGATTCCGCAGCCTCTTGGCAAGTGAGGCTTCTGGAACGTGAGCGCGCCCTCGTGTGGCTGTAGAGGTTCTTGCAAGCGGAAACTAGTATTTCTAGCTATCGCCTGGAGTATGCTGGCTGGCACACAGCTTGTATATTTAAACGCAGTTAGAAGGAAAAGAGGAAAGATAAAGAGAGAAAGAACAAACCGGTTTTAATCTCCTCAAAAGATCATACCACTGTGGCATGTACATGTAAGGCAATGCCCTGAGTTCCAAACAAAATAGTCTCCTTCTGAGCGAAATAATTTGATTGTCTGCTCTGCTCCTATTGTAACCTCTACTAAAGATTGAGGAAAGACTTTTAAAACAAAATAAATATATTTTATCTTGTTCTAGATCTTAGAAAGTGCCAGAGTCTATTTAGCCGGGTGGCAAACTGCTTTCAAGTGCTAGGGGTAGCAGTAACCCTGGTCAGGATTACTCTCTCTCAAATGTCTTTTTATAAAACTGCAGTTCTCCATTACAGCGGGGAGAAGCTCTTTCTAAGATCCTCTCAAATTCTCAGCCCACCCTGGCTCTAGTAATAGTTAATAGGCATTTTGATCTAACAAGTGTTTTTATTTTAGTTTATTTTCTAAGAAGTCAATTGCTATTAAGGTACTCAAATGTTTGGAGGGAAATTAAGGTTATTGATCCTGAAATTAGGAATTTTCTTAGATTTATGGTGAACCCCCAGAATGATTCTGTATGGTCATAAATGTGTGTGTGGGTTGGGATGTGGGAGCCTGTATTATGAGAGTGGGTGGTGGTTGGAAATCACAGAAGAACTTTAAGGCGCCTAATTATTCAGAGAGGTTAAAGGTGATGACCTTGACATTTTGGAAGTTCAAAGGCATACGCTTATGCACTTATGTTTTTCTTTACCCCCCAAAAGCTGCAGCAATTAAAAAAATTATATTTCAAAAAGCATACTTCCTAAGAAGGGGCCTGAAGTGCTGTGCAGCTTATGGATTTATATTTTGACTTTGGGCTCCTGAGAGCTTAAGAGTCATAAGATCCACTTCACTCTTTTCAGATCAAGAGACGCTTTCTCACTCCCCCCGGTTTATTGCACACTGCGGAAATCTCTTTTGGGCCCACCAGAAGGTGTATAATATAACCCAATTAAGCTGTTTAGAACTTTGGCTTTTATGGTGTTGTCTAGACAGTTCAAGGTTTTGTAAACAGCCTGGCTTGGTCCTGTGGCATAAAGCGCAGTGCAGCCCCTCACCACATTCTTTAACTTAAAGGGATAAACGTGGCGAGAAGCAGTTCTGCAGCCCCTGGCCTTAGTCTAGTGGGGGGGGGGGGACATTCCCTGCCTCGTGCTCTCTATGATACAAGGACCCCAGGTCCCTGCACCTATTAACTTCCTTTTAACAAACTTCCCCGCCTCACGTGGAAGACTTTTTTCTTCTTTTTCTTCTTAAGGAACTCTGGCTCCTTGTCCCTTGTTAAGAGATCATTTGAATCTTCTAATTAATTTTTAAAATTTGTTTTGTCTTTCCAAAAATTCCAATTTCATTAGACTAGGGCTGGGCTAAGAATTTGCTCCTTAATCTACTGCTTCAACCTCATTGCCTGGAGGGGGGAAAAGGCAGCCAGCTCTGCAGGATCATATCGCCAATTCAGAAGTGCAACACTAACGTGATTTTAAAAAACAGTGTAGCCTACAGGGGGTGTGAGGGACCAGTTCTTATTACAGAGAGGTTAGAAGTGCTCCAGCGGGCTTTCAGGTGCGTGGGGACAGGGTTCTGGCCACTAAGACAGCCT